CATGCACAGGTGGTGGTCCAGACCTTTGAGTCACCTCCCCACTATCTCTCTAGATCCTCAATTATTTTTTGGCTTTTTGGGTCACACCGGTGATGCTCAGGGGTTACTCCTGGCTCGTGCACTCAGGAATTACTCCTGGCGGTGCTCAGGGACCATATGGGATGCTGGGAATTGAACCCGGGTTGGACACATGCAAGGCAAACACCCTACCTGCTGTGCTATTGTTCCAGCCCCTACATGCTCATATATTTTTTTAAGCATTTGCTTTTAAATCTGGAGCAATAATAGAGTGGGGAGCCCCTGGCCCTGTATGCAGCCAGCTTGAATTCCCCAGCTCCACATACGGCCCCCTGAGCCTGCAAGATTGAGCACTCTGAGCACAGAGCCAGGAGTCCATCCTGAGCACTGTCAGGTGCACTCAACAAAATCTCACACCATTCTTCTCAGAAGCCTTCGAGGCCTTCCAGGGTTCCCAGTCAGCTGGGAATCCTTGTTTCCTTGTGGATATGTTTGAACTTGGGGTATTTGTTTTGTTCTGTTTTGGGGTGACACCTAGTTGTGCTCGGGGCTTATCCTGGCTCTGCACTCAGGGATCATTTCTGATGGTTCTCCGGGGGGACCCTGTGAGGTGCTGGGGATCGAACCCAGGTCAGCAGTGTGCAAGGCCAGCACCTTACCCGCTGTCCTATCTCTCCGTCCCCTGAACTGGGGTGGGGGTGTTGCCCACGCCAGCTGGGGTGTAGAGTGCCCAGCACACACGCCATCCACCTCCTACAATTGTTCTGGGTTTCCTAAAGCATCGCCAACTGAGTCCCTTGAGAGGGAATGTGCCCCCGGGCATTTGCATCCCTCCTGGATGTCCACCTAGGTCCCAGGGTCTGCCCAGTTGCCCCCTTGTCTATGTGCCTGGCCCCTCTGCCTACCTCGCCTTCATCCCATCACTGCTCATTCACGCCCGACAGATGTTTGCTGCAGTACCAGCCTCTCAAGAGACCCCTTGCAACCCAGGAACAGCACGGACCCCCGCCCCCCCCCCCCCGCCTAACCCCCAACCCAATTCTGTGTTCCCAGGACTTCTAGGCCCACCCCACAATTTGGGCCTGTCTCTCACCCGTCACCCCGGCACCCCTGTCCACCCCATCGGCCCTGACCATTCACTGTTGTGTCCTGAGCACTCCTGACAGGGCCCGGTGCATAGTAAGTGCCCAGGAAAAATGTGTCTAAGCACATGGTGGGCCAGGGGAGCGGCCAGCAGCACCCCTGTGCACCACTGACCCCCACTTTATAGAGGAACCCGGGAACTCGGGGCACTGCCTGCTCGGCCAAGTACAAATCACGGGCAGACCTGAGCTCTGTGAAGTCACAGCCTTCACACACCTCCACACACAAGCACACACAGGACTCGTGTGCAGATAGCACCAGGCCCTCTACACAACACACATGCTCACAGTCCACCCACCCACAACACGCGTAACATACACAGCACCTGAGACCTGTGTACATATACATACACGTATGGCTCACATGGCCGCGCGACATCTTATTATCTAGTTCTTACTCTGGAGAACCCAGCAGGCTACCAAAAGTATCCTGCCCACACGGCAGAGTCTGGCAAACTCCCCGTGGCGTACCCAATATGCCAAATACCAGTAACAATGATGGGTCTCATTCTCCTGACCCTGAAAGAGCCTCGAATGTGGCACTTTCTAAAATCTCAGGGCAAGGACGAAGGAGACATTCCTGGGGCCTGCTCGAGGCAATCGATGAACAACAGGAAGACAGTGATACAGTGATGGCTCACGCAGCATCCACACACAGTACACACTAGATACGCATGTATTACAGCATCCATGGCTCAACACAGCATCCACCCAGCACACAGACGCACGCTCAGAGCGCGCACACACACACTGAACATACGGATCACACATGGCGCACATGCATGGATAGTGTGAGCACATGAGATGCACATGTTACACACAGAGCACACACACGCTACACCTAGAATACACAGGTAGCACTCAGCCCACGGACGGTACACCGGTGACACACACGGAGCACACATGACACTGATGGCATATATGGCGCACACAGCACCACACATGATGCATGGCACACACAGAGCACACAAGTGCTACAGCAACAAAGAGTACACACGGTATACGGAGCACTCAAGGCAAATGCGGAACGCACATGGCACGCACAGAGTACACACAGCACACGCAGCACATGCAGAACACATATAATAAAACATACGGCACACACAGAGCATACATGGCACAGCAGAGCACACACACATGGTACACACTTGACACACACATACTACATGGTACACCAAGCACAGACATGGCACAAGCATGCCACATGGTACACACAGAGCACACACACATGGCGCACACATGCCAAATGGTACTCACAGAGCACACACGGCACCCCTAGCGCTCAGGTCCTGTCCAACTCTGCCAGCCCCAGCCCCCGTGTCATGCTCTCACAGCGTTGGGGACCGTTGGCCCAGGGTTCTCCAAGGGCCCCTTTGTGGCCTGATCTGGGGGCAGCGCCGGGAGGGCACGGGGCTTGTGTCTGAGGCCACAGAGCGGGACATGCAGCAAGTGTCCAGAGACAGTTGCCCACGAGCAGAGCCGGGGTTTGAGGCTGGGTGAGGGTAACTGGCAGGACTCGGCTCCCGCCCAGGTCACTGTCTCTTCACTCCGGACTGTCGGTGAGTCCTGACGATGCTGGTCAGCGTGGCTTGTGCTGCAGAGTCCCCTCAGCTCCCCGTGTCCTGCAGGTCCCCGGAGCAGGCCAGCATCTCAGCCGCCAAGTGGCAGGTGGCATCCTGGCCGCGGAGCCTTGGTGCCCGCCCTCTGTCCGTGCTGGCCCCGGGGTCCCGGTGGACGGTGACCGACCCTTCACTTGTGCAGTGGTCAGCAGCTGGTGCTGAGGAGACAGTGAGCCTGTCTCTCCCTGGGCCTGCTGTCAGGTCCTGCCCTGGAGACCCCCCAACGCGGGCTGACCCCGCCACCGCCGGCCAGGGCTGCTGCAGCCTGGGGCACTGACCCCAACGTGTGTCCCCCCCAGAAGGGCTCTGTAGCCTGACCTATGGCCTGTTGCCTCCTCAGAGCAGTACCTTGGGTGACCTTTCCTTAGAACTTAGGGGACCAAGGGGCCCCCGTAGGAGCTGGGGTGCCGGGCTGGGGGGGGCGTCTCTCAAGACTGCCCACCCTGGCTTCCTTCTCGGCTTTTCCTGGGCCCAGTTTCCCCGCTGGGAAATGGGGGCAGGAAGGAGCTTCTGGAAGAAAATGGCTGTGAGGGTGATCTGTCAGCCAGGAGCCGACCGACAATGAGGAGGTCTGTGACCCGCCCATTCACACAGACACACAACCGGCTTCCAGAAGGTTCTCACACTCAGTGAGTGGGCATGTTCCAGAAGGTTCCCAGACAGGCCCGGCTTCCTGGCTCTGGGCTCCCGTGGGCATGGGGATGCATCTGGTCCTTTCTGGAGCCACAGGTGGGGGGATTCACAGAGCCCCCTGCCCTTGAGGTCAGAGGTCACAAGTGGGGGTGGGAGCGGTGTCTGTGTTTGGGGGTTCAGACGAGGTCCAGGACCCCCAGGAAGCTCCTTAGGAGGGTCCCTGCAGGCAGCCCAGGGCTAGCAGTGATTCTGTTTGTGACTCTGGGAAGAAAGGCCGCGGGCAGTCCAGCACTCAGGCACTGTGTTTATTTTGGGGGGTGGGTTGGATTTGGGCCACACCCAGTGTTGCTCAGGGCTTGCTCCTGTCCCTGTGCTCGGGGGTCTCTCCTGGTGGGCTGGGGGTTCTAAATGGGGTCCTGGGGATGGAGCCCAGGTAAGCCGCACGCAAGGCAAACACCCTTTCCACTGGACTATTGCTCCGACCTGTGCACCAGGCCTTGGCACGGAAGGAAAGTCACCCTGAGACCTTGCTGCAGTGTACACACTGTACACACACAGTGTGTGTCATACCACACACCGCACACATATACCGTACACATGCACTGTCTACACACTCTACACACACTACAATGCACTCACACAAGTGCATACTTTACACACCAACACACTCAAATCCAAATACACACAGCTCTCCCCCCCCCCACACACCACACACACTGTACACGCACACATCACACACACACTGTACACATACAAATCACACACTGTACACACACTTCACACATGCACATACATTCGTAGCTTGTGTCTGGTAGATTCACACAGGAATTCACGTGTATATGCTTCTCACACGCATAGACTATACACATACATCCACATACTGTTTTCACATGCTGTCCACGCAAAAGTCCATAAACACATATAAATTCATGTACATATTACACACACACACACACACACACTCACACCTACGCACCAGCCTTTCGAGGAACGTGGCTCCGTGCTTAGGCAGACCATGTCCCCTCGGTTTCCCCCAAAGTGTGGCCTCCCGCCTGTCCCCCCTCGTCTTGGCCAGGAACCAGATGCTTCTCCCAGCTGGGTGCGCTCAGGTCCTGCACACGCTCCCGCCCCAGCATGGCCCAGAGCCTCCCCCACACCCAGTGCTGGCGACCCCCTTCCAGCACCCTCAGGGATGGAGGGCCCCAGATTCCCAGCCAACAGGAGGCCCAGCCCAGCCGTCCCCAGAACCTGGGCTGGCCCAGAGCCTCTCCTCTGGCCTGGAACGCGGCTGGGACCGGGCAGAGGGACCGGCCAGGGCGGCTCAGGACTGGGCGTCTGTTCACTCTGCCTTGGCCCACTGGGCCTGGACGCCATCAAGGTCGCCCCAGGAGGTGAGCGCCCCGACTCTGGAGTCCTCAAGGAAAGACTCTCGGTTCTCGGTGGAAGATGGAACCATCTGGGAGTTGCACCAGACCCTCAGCAGAGTTGGGGCGTCCCACAGCAGGACCCCCTTCTGTCAGGCCCCCAAGAGGGGACCTGCAGACCCGGGGCCTCTCTGTCCTCCCCCCGAACCCTGAGGGGTACTCACCCAGCATCCCCAGCAGGTACAGGGTGGCCCGCGGCGCGTGCTGAGAGCCCATGGGCGCGGCTTCTGCTCCAGCCTGGGCAAGCGGCCGTGGGTGAGTGTGACTGGCCCCCCCTCCCTGGCTCCCTCTGCGGGGGGCGGAGCAGGCGGGCGTGGGCTGGGGTGCGCTGGGGCGCAGGCAGTGTGGGGCCTGCGTCACCCGTGTTTGAAGTCGAACTGTCAACTTCCTCCTGGTGAAACCACCTGCTCCCGGAAAATGGCGGGCTTGGCACTGCCAGCTTCCTGCCGAGTGCCCAGGGCAGGTCGGGGTTGCCCCACGCTAGGCCAGGACCCGCGGTGGATGGGAGCTGGGCTGGCGGAGAAGAGACAGCCTGGTGCCCAGGGGGACAGGCCTGGGGGTCCCGGGGGCTCTGCAGCGGGTGGCCTGAGGAGCTCAGAGGCAGGATGTGGGGATACCCCTGCTGCAGACTTGGGATGATCAGCCAAAGGAAGCCCCCTGCCCGCTCATGGGACCGAGACGGGCCGGAAGGGACCCCCACAGCCAGCTCAGGGATGGGAGCATCCATGAGTGAATGTGTGAGAGCGCCAGGTCGTGTGACCTCCACGCCCACATGCGTGACTGATCTCTGCGTCCATGTGTCCGTATGATGCCCGTGCTCATGCAGGTGACCTCCATTGCCACAGGTGACCTCCTTGTCCACCTGACTTTCACACCCATGGCCTCCATGTCTATGTGTGTGAGCTTCACGTTCAAGCATGTGATTTCTAGAAGTGTGATCGCCACATCCACGGTTCTCTTGCCTATGTTGTGTAATATCCATGTTCATGTGTCTGTCTGTGTGTGATTTCCATGTTGGCGTGTGATCTCCATGGTCATGATTTCCATGTCCACACCTGTGTTGTCGTGTGCTTCCCCTTCCACGTAGGTGATTTCCATGTTCATGTGTGCCATTTCCATGTCCATGTGCAGTTTCTGTGTCTGTGTGTGGTTCCCATGTCTGTGTATGGTTTCCGTGTCTGTGTGTGGTTTCCATGTCCATGTGCAGTTTCCGTGTTCATTTTCCATGTCTGTGTGTGGTTTCCATGTGTAGTTTCTGTGTCCATGTGCGGTTTCTGTGTCCATGTGCAGTTTCCATGTCCTATGTGTGGTTTCCGTGTCCATGTGCAGTGTCTGTGTCCGTGTGTGATTTCCGTGTCCATGTGTGGTTCCCGTGTCTGTGTACGGTTTCCGTGTCCATGTGTAGTTTCCATGTCCATATGCAGTTTTCATGTTCATTTTCCGTGTCCATGTGTGGTTTCCATGTGTAGTTTCTGTGTCCATGTGCGATTTCTGTGTCCGGGTGTGGTTTCTGTGTCCATGTTTGGTGTCTATGTCTGCATATGCTCTCTAGGCCCATGGAGCTGGTCTCTGGCCTGATGTGCCTGGAATCAACCTCTGGGCTGTGGTGGGGGCCGAGTTGCTGGGGTTCCATGGAGAGGGTTGGGATGGGGGTGGGGGGTCCATCCTGTGGGGCTCAGGGGTGTCCTCCCTCCCTCTCTCCCTCCCTCCCTCCCTCCCTCCCTCTCTCAGTTTTCTAGGTGGGCCCAGCGGCTCGGGGTGTCTCCTAATGTGACAGTTTCAGGCTATGTGAGATCTTTGAGTTTCGTTTGTGTTTTGTGTTTTTAATCCATACACTGCGATGCTCAGGGGTTCCTCCTGGCTCTGCACTCAGGCATCACTCCTGGCGGTGCTCAGGGGACCATATGTGGTGCCGGGGATTAGCAGCCACTTGGAGGCATCCACTTAGCATCCCAACATGCAACATTCCACAGTCAGCTGACAGAGGGCTGGGGGCTTGGGGGGCTTGAATCCACTCAGTGGAGGAGAGTGGGCAATGGGGATGCCCCCAAGCAGCTATGACAGGGCCACGCCCACACCTCAGGCAGACCTGGGAGGTGACCTTGTCTCAGCTGGGCCTTCCGGGCCTCCTGCCCCCCACATCATCCTTCGGGTCTGCTATCAGCTGGGCAGGTGGACTTTTCATTCATTCATTCATTCATTCATTCATTTGTGAGCTGTTCATTCTCGAAAGATTCAAGAATTGAGCGATAGGAAAGTAGGCTATGGACCAAACATGATGGCTGCTTGGTACTTGTATTGCAAACCATAATACCCCAAAGGTCAGAGAGAGTAGGAGGGAATGTGCCTGCCACAGAGGCAGGGGGTGGGAAGGGGTGGGGGTGGGGGAGGGATGCTGGGAACATTGGGGGTGGAGAATGGGCACTGGTGGAAGGATGGGTACTCGAACATTGTTTGACTGAAACGCAATCATGAAGGTTTCTAAGTCTGTAACTGTATCTCACGGTGGTTCATGAACATTTAAAATAAATAGATAAAAACAGTGAATACAAATATTCTCAGTGCTTTCATCTTTTTGCCTGTTGACTTTACTACTAATAAATAATAAATAATAATAAATAATAAATAATAAAACGAAATAATAAAACCTACATTTATAATAATTTTATAAAAAATAAAAGAATTGAGCGATAGTACAGCAGGGAGGGTGCCTTGCAAATGTCTCACCCCCAGCACCACTCCACATAGTCCCCTGAATTCTGCCAGGAGTAAGGCCTGAGCACTGTTAGGTGTGGCCTCCAGCAAACAAAACTCAAAAACCCAACAAAATCCTTGTTGATTCCATGCTAAGTACCAAGGAGTGTCCCCCTCCCCCACCTCCCTGATCCCTTATCCCTAGGTCTTAAAACTTGACTTTTAAAACCCCCCTTAAAAAAATTATTAGTGAAACACCATGGGGTACAGTTGTAGACTTACTTACAAATTTTTGTGCTTGGGTTTCAGTTATACAATGATCGAACACCCATCCCTCCACCAGTGCCCATTCTCCACCACCACGGGTCCCAGTATCCCTCCCACCCCCACACCCCTGTCCCACCCTGCCAGGGCATTCCCCCCTGTTCTCTCTCTCCTTTTGTTAAAACCCCTTTAAAAAAAATTGTGGTAAGGATGCAGTACCTCTAAACCATGCTTGCTAACAGCACTGTAAACTTCAACTAAATTTAAAATAATTAACTTTTTTTATTTGTGGGGTTTGGGGCCACCCTGGGCTGACTCATGGCTCTGTGCTCAGGAATCACTCCTGGCGAGGCTCAGGGGACTGTCTGGGGCTCCAGGAATGGAACCCACGTTGGCCTGGTGCCAGGCAGGTGCCCGACTTGCTATACTATTGCTCTGGGCCCATACACTTAAATTATTTTAAGAAACAAAAACCCACAGCATTTCTGGGAGGCCGGGCAAAGTGGCCTGTGCCCTTTCCTGGCTGTTTCCGAGTCTGAGTTTGGGGACCGTTGAGCACTGAGGATTGGACCGGGGCTTTAACCTACCTGTTCTTACTGGCCATGCTTCAGGTGTGCTTTGAGGCCCTTCCTAACCTGACGCCCATCCTAGCCCAGGACCCTAATGGATTCCTGCAGGGCAGCTGACAGTTCTCCAAGGCCTTGGAGAACTAATTTCCCACTCCTCGGGGAAGTGGGTGTCACTTTATGAAGAAACTGGGGTTAGGAGGTCAAAGCTAAGACCTGAACCCCAGATTTCTCTCCAGAATCCTCCCTTCTTACCCCCAGCGGACCCCCCAAACAAGCCCCAAAGCAGAGCAAGCAGACAGATGCTCACGCCCTGCCAGGCTCCGGGTCCTGGCCACAGGCTGGGTGCTTGTTCCTACTCTTTTTCTTTTTTTAGCTTGTTTTTGGGAATCCCAAAGGGCCGGGGCTGGCTGGGTCGCTGCCCACTGGGTCCCTCCCCCCACCCCACCCCCCCCCCGTGGCCCTGGACACCTCATCAAGGGACTCCCCACCACTCTCCTGGCAAGCCCCCAGCTCTGCCCAGCGCATCCCTCTGTCGGTGCCCCTGGCGGCCAGGCCGGACCCGGTCCCCACGCAGACCCCCATCCCTGGTGCAGTTTCCTGCCCCCCATCACCGCATTTTCCGTGACACAAGAGGAAGTCGCCGGGCCGGGCAGGCGGGCAGGGTTTTCCATGGAGGCCCAGGGGGTGGGCCGGGGCCGGGGCGTTGGGGGGTGGGGGTGCCGGTGTGAGTGCCCTCAGGGACCGCGCCAGTACCTCCTAGCCCTGCGCCCCGAGAGGCGCTGCCCGCTGCCCGCTGCCCGCGCGTTGCCGCACCAGGTAAGCCCCGGGCTCGCGTCCCGCGGGCGGGGGAGGGGCGGGGCCGCGGGAAGCCAGGGGCGCTCAGGCGGACCTCGCAGGGGGGCTTGGGGGGTCTCGGGGGTGAACGGAGCTGTGGGCTGGCTTCCCTCCGCCCGGTGGCCAGAGCAGGAGCAGCCTCTGGGCTGGCGAGCAGGTCGGAAAGAGAGCAGCCCCCCTCTCCCCCGCCCCTCCCCGCTGCCCATCAGCAGGGGAAGGTTTGTTGATTGACACAATGACCTGATTCCTTCAAAACTTTTACTGGGAAGCCTGGAGCATGGCGTGAGTGGGGTGGGGGGCGCCCTTCTAATGGGCTCCCCTTCCAAGGCCTTGCTAGCATCCAATCAGAGCGCTGGGGGTGGGGAGGACGGACCCCACTTGCTGACCCAGATGGGCAAACCGGTATGGGTTCCAGTCCCACCCCTGCCCGCGGGGCTGGATGACCCTCTCTCTTCCCGGGGCACACTGGGGCTGGGCCTGGGGGATTTCGTCTTCTGGGTCCTTCCTGCCTCGCCTGATTTCTTGCTGGACTCTGAGAAGGTGGCAGGAGCGCTGGGCGTGTGTGTGTGTGTGTGTGTGGGGGGGGGGGTGGACAGAATACCCGCAGGTCTGCAACCGATGTGTGGTGGGGGTGGGGGTTCCCTCTGTGTTCTCCAAGTCCCAGGAGCTGCCCCCCAGGGCCTGTCTTCAGCAGGGATCCGCCCCACACTTTCCCAGCCCCTCCCCTGACAGAGCACTGGCCTCAGATTCCTGCAATGAAATCTTACCCTAAAGCTAAATAAAGCACTCGGGGAAGTCCCTCGGCCTCTTCATCTGTAAAA